AGCAGCCACCACACCAATTCTGCTGGTGGTCTGGGTTACAGTGGCGGCAGCTTGTACACACATACGTAGAACATTTCTGTCAGTCCACTTAAACCCCCTTGGATACAATCGCTTTGGCGTGCTCTCATAAAACTTTGGCAATGGAGCTCGACAGTGTCCCAAAAAGGTGTAAAGTCTGGCTCTGCTACAATGTTGGGTTCATTCAACAGCAGAAAAGCAGTTGGAGTGGGAGAGCATGTGAAGATCAGAAGTTAGCAGATCTATCCAATTATAAAACTAAAAAGAAAGAAAACTATCGTTGCTAGGTTCCAGGGCCACCATGTGTTGCGAGCAGAATCTCTAGGAGCTAGAAGAGCTTCTTCGTGCATTCATTGGAATCGAGACATTTGAGGGAGTGGCAGTGGTGTCATTTTCAAGAAGGCGCTGGTCGCTGGTCGGTCGGTAGTTTGGTTCAAAGTTCAGACCTTCCAGCAGCACGACTTGCTTCCTCCCTGTTTTGTCAAGCGCCTCCAATTGGTGAAGGTGACGGTGAAGGTGACGGCAGCGGTAGTGGTGGTGGTGGTGGTGGTGGCGAGCCACTGTACCGTGCGTAATGGTTGGTGTTTCTATCATCTTTCCCAAGACTTTTCTCTTCCTCCTTGTGAGAGTTTGAGAAGTCTGGGAAAGCTCTTTAAATTATTCCGGGAAGAACATGGTGGGCGGTGGGGCGAACATGAGACACTGTTCCACTCGCTCACACAACTCACTTGCATCAATGATCGCCAAGTTCGTAGCGTAAGCTGATAGCTAGCCTTTCTCTACCTGAATCATGGGCTTCTTTTCAACTTTTCTTTTTTTTTGGAATCTAAACAGCAGACATTTGTGGCTTGTGTGTGTCGTCTGCCGCCACAGGTTCAGAAAGTGTCCCCGCAGCGAGATATGAACTCTGAAACCGAAGGGGCTTCTGTTTCCTGCTGTGCTAACTCACCCGTCGGCATCAGATTCAGTCGCTTATATATACACTTCGAAATTGCAAATGTCGCTTTTCCTATGAATACTATTCACCATTCAATGGCCACATGAACTCGAAAGCAACAAGACGACGATCCTAAGGTTGAATCATCAATTTTTCTGGTTTGGTTCCATCAACAAACTTAGGGGGACAAGTTGGACCACTCGAACTTTTTCGTCGCCCAACTTGGGATCAAATGGGGGATCAGTTTCGCTTTGAGTGTGACCCAAGAGAACTTTGATCCAGTGCAACTTGCAACTTCATCACTCCGTACTGCTATATTTCCATCAAGGAAATTTTTTTCGTACGCTGCATGTGGCCGACGGACGTGGCGGGCAGGAAACCAATGACCGTTATTCCGTCGCAATCCCACCCGCCACTCCCACGACGCCACGTCACGGCCCTGTTTCTTCGTTGTCTGGAAGAGCGAAAATGTTTTCGTTTATCTTCGAAAGCTTCACATGGAAATGATACCGAGACACGTTCTCACGTGGCCGTGGGATCAGAGTTTCTCCGGAAAGATGCCGAAAGATTCGGCTGGGATTCCCTTGTTGAATCCCATGGCACCAATGCGTTGAAATGGAGTGACATGGGAGTGGGGTGCACGACGGACAAAACTTTCTTCTCTCCAATTGGCCGGCACTTTGATTTGTCTTTTCGGGGTTCCACTCATGGGATAGATTACAATTTACATCTTTAAAAAAATGTGGAAAGCTTTCCACCGATTTTTTTCTTTTCTTTAATCGCTTTGCAACAACGACAACGGCCAACTGAAAGAACATGGATTCGATTTAAGCGTTACTCGCCAGATGTTTGATTTGGATCTGGGGCAATCTAAGGCGTTCGTTTGGAAGGTTTGATAATTGTTACGAGCTGGCTCCTTGATCAACCAAAGTAGAAAATGGTTTGCTTGGATTGAAAATTCCTTGAAGATGCGCCCGCCATATTATCCAAACTTTGGAAGCATCATCGCCGCCTTCGACATACATTGTCTTAGTGGATTCCATCTCTATCTAAGATAGATTCCATTTCCATTTCATTTGGAAACTTGGACGATGACATGGTTCTTCCCAATCTCAAGAGCAACGATTTGCTGACTGGGCGTGGTAAAAAACATGTCTTTTTACTCCTCTTTTACCACGCCAGTCAGTGGTCACGCTCGCCGCAAAATCCAACACGCCGCCACGCCACGACCATTATAGGAAATGCATGTGTGGATGAATCATCAAACACAGAGAAAAAAAAAAAAGCCTTTTTACTTTTGACTGCAGTTTTTACCATCTCCACTACTTACACGCCCTCGGTCAAAGTAAAAATCGGCGCTCCTCCCAAAACCCAACCAACCAACGTTTCACCTTGTTCTGTTATTTCCGTTGATCAGACAGTGGCTGTCCGTTAGTTTAATTCGAAGCTTTCCGCCCAAAAACACTCGAGCGATGGAGAGAACGCTCCACCAAAACGCTCCCGGGATCCAGCTAAGTCACGCTTTCTTTGAGCGGTCCCAATGCGGCGGCCCGGGGATCGCCCGCTAGCTTAGCGATTTGGCCGAGCGATCGCCTCCCCCCTCGCCGTATAAAAACCCCCTCTCTTGTTGAGCCATTCATCCATCCATTTCATTCATTCAATTGCCCATCCTTTCCCTCTTTTTCTCGCCTTCTTTCTTTCTTTCTTTCTCCCATTCGATTGATCGCTCCCCCTCGCCTTCCTCTCTCGCGATCCGCGAGTTCTTGGGCTGGATTTCGCAGCGGCAGGGTCTTGATTCCTCTGTTTCTTTGGCGACAAGGCGAGGATACGAAGATTCTCCACGCCGTCTGCCGAAATTTCGACCTGCATTGCGCGAAATCCAGCGATCCACCGGGTTTTTCTCTCCCGATTCGTCCCTCCAGCTCCCATTCGATCTCGTCTTTGCCGGATTCTTGGATGGATCGCCCGGCCAGAATCTTGCTTCTTGTTCTTGCGTGCTGCTGCGCATCGCTCTTCTTCCCGCTCGCCGCCGCCTCGAGAGCGCTCAAGGATCATCGACACCAGGGATTCAATGCTAGCGCCAGCGCCAGCGGAGCCATCGATAATCCCAGGTCCGATTTCTTCCCCAGGGTTTCTTGTTTCTTGGATGCTTCGATTCCTCGTTCTTGTCTGGATCAGTGCCCCTGCTTGGGCGAGATTTGGAGGAATTCCTTTCGGATTTCCAGTCCCATTCCTGTTAGCTAGAGCATTAGGTGAGATGTGTTGATTGTCGAGGCAGAAGAGGTACTTCCTAGTCGTTGTTCTTCTGGTGGATTTCCACCAGGGAGATTCGAACCCCTGGTCTGGTCTCACTCTTACTGCCGAGATTCGAACGCGCGTCCTCTTTGTCCTTTGAAAAAATTTCGACTCACTCCGGGTCTTTTTCTCAGAGGGAATGGCACACAAAGGAGGGAAGCGTTCTCGCTACTGGGCTGTGGCAGCAGCGGCAATCCGATCGACGACTGCTGGCGCTGCGACTCAAACTGGCACAACAACCGCAAGCGCCTGGCCGAATGCGCGATTGGATTCGGCCGCAACGCGATTGGGGGTAAGAACGGGGAGATCTACGTCGTCACCGACTCGAGCGACGACGACCCAGTGAACCCCAAGCCCGGCACGCTGCGCTACGGCGTCATCCAGTCGGAGCCGCTGTGGATCATCTTCGAGCGCGACATGAGCATCCGGCTGAGCCAGGAGTTGATCGTCAACAGCTACAAGACGATCGATGGGCGAGGCGCCAACGTCGAGATTGCTCACGGCCCCTGCATCACGATCCAGTACGTGTCCCATGTCATCGTCCACGGCATCGCGGTCCACGATTGCAAGCCTGGGGGACCGGCGATGGTGAGGAGCAGCACGACTCACTTCGGATGGAGGACGGTGTCGGACGGGGACGGGATTTCCATCTTTGGATCCAACAACATCTGGGTGGATCACTGCACGCTCGCACGCTGCACTGATGGTCTCATCGATGCCATCATGGCTTCCACGGACATTACCATTTCAAACAACCATTTCAGCGACCATGACAAGGTGTGTGCTCTGCTCTCTCTCTTTTCTCCAAAGTATTCCTTGTTTACAGCAATTCCCCGGACTGGGTTCTTGCATGGGTGTTTTTTTTCTTGATGTGTTCTTGCGTCTTTGCTCGCCAGGTTGCTTGGGTGATTGTTTTCTTTATGTGTTCTTGTGTGTTTGCTCGCTAGATTGCGTGTCTTGGAAGATTTCTGGTAGCGTAACTGGTTTTTCTCACGCTTGAGTTGTCGATTTGCAGGTGATGCTCCTGGGACACAACGACGATTACACTGCGGACCGGGCAATGCAAGTGACTGTAGCTTACAATCACTTTGGACAGGGTTTAATCGAAAGAATGCCGAGGTCAGCCTCATCCTTTTGCTTTCTTAGCGCACGGGTTTGGCTTTTCTAAACTGGATTTCGTTTTCTTCTTTTGCTTTTGTAGATGCCGACACGGATACTTCCACGTCGTCAACAACGATTACACCGAGTGGAGGATGTACGCCATTGGAGGCAGCGCGAACCCCACGATTAACGCCGAAGGCAATAGATTCTTTGCGGGATTCAACGAAAACTCGAAAGAGGTAACTCTTTACAACTTTTTGTTTGTATACACAAACCTCATGTTTGCTTCTAAACAGATAACAAAGCGAGAGTACACGGAGGAATCCATATGGAAGAGCTGGAACTGGAGATCCGAGGGGAACTTGTTCCTGAATGGAGCGTACTTCATCACGTCTGGAGCTGGATCCGGGTCGGTCTACGGCAAGGCCTCGAGCCTCGCCGCCAAGCCCGCGGCCTACGTTGGTGAGCTAACTCTCTCGGCAGGAGCACTTCTCTGCGGCATAGGATTTCCATGCTGACTTGAGGATGATCATCGCCATCGCCATCGCCAGTCGTCATCAGCAGCTGTACAGCAGTACTCCTATAGCTCCTCGATCGGTCTCGCCCTCTTAATTAGCCACTGCGGACTACGATTTTTTTGAAGGTCTCGGACGGAATAAGCGGTGTTCCATCGCTAGAGGGGTGGTTACACGATGGAGAGAGAGAGAAAGAGAGGAGCTCCATCTCTCTTTTCCATCTCCATGGAAGCAAGAAGAAGAAGGAAAGTCTGGCAACCTCGGCCGGGAATGGAAGAACACTGGAAAGAGTTCTCCAGCCTTGGCGCGGAAGCGTTGTTTGTTTGCTCTTTCCATATGAAACAAAGAAAGTAGCTTTAAGTACCTCCGGAAGTTTTAGTTTTGCTTGATTATAACGCGAAGAACTTGTTCTAGCTCTTGCTTCCCTTGTGCTTAAACGCTGCCGGACACAAGTTACTAATCAAGCAGTCGCCACAGCGAGGACGAAGTGGAGTGCAAATGGTCTGACCAAATCCAACCTGCGAAGAAAATCGATGCATGAAAAAAACATGGAACAAAAGCGAACCAGCAATGGATTGATCGGAACCCATTCTTCCCTCGGCAGCCACGACTCTAGCGAGATCCGCGTCTCCTCTGGAGTTTTCGTGTCCTTTCAAAGCAAACAAGTATGGATCACAGTCTAGAGAGAACTTTGCTGGAAGAAACAACGTACCAAGCGTTTCTTGGATGTTGATTTTGGATGTGAGACCCATTCCAGCCGGTTTGTGATACGGTGGACGTGAGTGTCGACACAAATGCCATGCACGCTCTCCCAGCCGACGTTCATCACCTAGATAAAGTTTTGGAACTCCGAAGGAACAAAAGGAAGAACTTTGTTTTACCAGATGAGCCATCTTTGGGCCGATTCCAGGAAGAGCGAGGAGTTCACTGAGCGTTTTAGGAATGTCTCCTTGGTACTTTTCCAGGCACAGTGCCGCGACTTTCTTGAGATAACTGGCCTTTCTCGCATAGAAGCCAACCTTTCACGAGTCACAGGATCAGAAAAGAGTCGCGAACGCCAGAGTTTTCCGCACCGGATAGATCGCATCTCTGATTGTCGACTCTTCGGCTTTGGAGAGATCTTCCATCGACAACAAGTGCCGCTCCGAAAGCCGCTTCATCGCACCTGAGCAGGCTTAAAGTTAAGATCCGAGGGGTATAGGAAACGATCAGAGTATCAAATAATAAACACCATGGTTTACTTCGTCTTTAGTCTGGCTGGAGAGCAGCGCAGATATGAGAACTGCAACTCTTCGCTCCTGAAAAGCGAAGAAAATCCATTTTGTTCTTCCAAGAAGAAGAAGAAACTAAAAACCTTTGGTGGAAGAGAGATTCCAGCTTTCTCGCATCCCATGGAGTCGACTGGGGCATCCTCAGAAGCTCTCATTTTGCGTATCCCTTCCAAAACTTCTTTCCACTTTGGAGGCTCTCCTGTTAGATGATTACTTTGCTACAAATAAAGATGGAATAGAATTGAATAGAAGCGCTACCTTTCTTCTTTAAATCCATAGCTTGATTGCCATCGTCACAATTTCCCTATCGAAAGGAATGAAAAAAAGAAAGAAAGAGAAAGAAAGAATGCGAACCTCGTAAGAGACTTTTACAAATGCACGCTTGGAAGCCCTCTGGCTATGGACATTCGAAGAACTCCTTTTGTAAGTCCTAAGGCTGGAGGGGCTGGATTCCTGCTTGATCCTCCTCGGCACAAACGCATCGCTCTTGAGCTCAAACTCGGAGAAAACCGATGAAACATCGCGATTCCTGCGATGCGCCTCACGAGAAAATGAGTGCATCAGACAAGAAAGGAAACTCACTGTGCAGGAGGAGGCGCGCCATCGCCAGAAAACTCCGCCATTAGAATTAATCGAAGAAACCTAAAACCCTGCGATATGTTCCATCAGGAATGTAAAATAAAATTTGCTGATGCTATTGACCAGTCAACGAAAATTGTTGACCACGTGTCCATTGACCGTGACCAGTCAACGATGGCCGATGGGTCAACGGCACGACTTGACTAAAATCTTCCGAAAACTCTTTAAAATTTGCTAGTATATAGCAATTTTTTTCATAAAAAATAACTTGGTAACTAGAATGACTGAGTCACTTCATGATTATCAAAAAGAACAATATAGAAGAAGGTGCTCCCCTGGGTCTGTCAGTCTTTTGCAATGTCTTGGATTGAACCGGGGACCTCTACTGTGTGAGCCACCCAAGCTCATGAAACCTAGCTTCACTCTGTATCTCCAGTATTCTTTTCTCGATCATGGCTTGGAAGGCATACGCTGAAAGTCTCCTTCCAATTCACAATTGCTGATGAAGGTTGTGCCCAAGATCTAGGCACCGTGCACGAAATGCAAAGATAAGATTGTATCTCAGATCTATTACAACGTCTCAGGTACGTCCAAGAGAAATCTCTTCATGACAATAGAGCTGTTTCAAACTATATGCTTATATTCTGGAAGTGGATGATCCACACTACACATTCACTGACGATTTAAAAAAAATCATAAAGAAGAAGAAGAAGAGGAGTTCGAATCAGGAGATTTCTGAGCCAAACAAGGATAAACATGGCACCTGCTGTTGCTGCTCTTCTAGTGGTCTGAAGCTTGACCATTTCTAGAAGTTCTACGTTTTTTCACTTGCCAGCTTAATCTTATTCCCTTTTCTATTTTTATTTTTAGAGTCTCGACAAAGCCAATGTGGCCGATGAATTCTCGGCCAGCTCCATCTGACAGCCTGGTCGCTCGTCTCGTGAGGAAAGGTCTTCCATAACAACTTTATGAATTCTTCACATGACATTTTTTTAAGTTGTCGTCCACCTTGCCTCTGACTCCTTGTAGTACCGTTGGACACAATCTCACAAGTTCATGTCAAAGTCAATGCTTGTAAACAGGGACTTGACTTGAATAGTGCCTATAGCCAAACTTGCATTGCTTTTTATGAAGCTTTTACGATTCCCCGGAATGATTCCTTCATGCAGGCGTAACATCCTTGAAATTTAATCGCAACGATGGGAACGACCATTTCAACGTAGCACTCGCGTGCTCGGGATGTTAGATGGACAATCCTATTGCAAGAAATTTTTTATGAAAGAAAACGAATGATCTGGTGCTCTACGTTAAACCCTCGTTCGAAATTTATTACAAGGAAAACAGAGAGGAGACATCGATCATCTCATCCACAACGAAAACTCTTTGTGATCAGCAATCAGTCCCGAATTCTAGCAGCAGCAGCAAGAGCAGCAGCAGCAGCAATCGTCCTTTGGCTTCGGCTTGGGCTTTTCCACCTTGATCTCCTGGAAGGATTCCACAGAAATACACTTGCGTTGCTTCTCGGTGGCCTTGAGGATGTCGTCCACCTTGAAATCACCCGTGAAGGTGTAAAAGGGATCGTTAACCTCCACTTTCTTCACACCTGCAAGAGCACGAAGATCTCTTGATCAGCGATCAAAATTTGGGAGAATTTGCGGAAATCTACACTCACCGGAGACGCCGTGATAGATCTGAGACATAATCTTGTCCTTGCATTTGTTGCAAGAGTCCACTTTCAAGACAACCTGCAGCACAGAGCTCGAGATCAAACAAGGCTCAACGAAATCAGCCAGACGCAATGCTCACCTTCCAAGCCATCTTGATTGTCTACGAATTTGCAGATCACAGTTGTGAAATTCGCAGCTTTGACAAGCTTGAGACGCTAGATACCGGAAGACGGAGAAGCGGAAGAGAAGAGGGCCCTGCTGCTGACTGGGGAGACGTCATCAATTTAAGCAGTCGGATGGAATGCTTTCCACGGTTTACGCCGTGTGGAAGCCGGTCTTTGTATGTATGATGAATCCCGCGCACGTTCGTAAAAAGAAAACCTTTTTTTATTATAATACTTTTTATATCGAGACATAGGCGCCAAAGCCCTAATTTTTGGAACAGAAATGTAGATTTGAACTTGATGGTCTCGCTGGCGTGCAAGAGCTGGCGCGCTCACACCGGCGTGGAGCTCCACTTCTGCGATCGTCCACGACGCCATCTCCAGCGTCATCGCGTGCCTCCGCAAGGTCTGTTTAGAAGCAAACATGAGGTTTGTATACAGACAAAAAGTTGTAAGAGTTAACCTCTTTCGAGTTTTCGTTGAATCCCTTTGGCGTTAATCATGGGGATGGCTCCAGTCGGTGTAATCGTTGTTGACGACGTGGAAGTATCCATGTCGGCATCTACAAAAGCAGAAGAAGAAGACGAAATCCTGTTCGAACAGGGCAATGCAAGTTTACAATCACTTTGGACAGCATCCTTTTTCTTTCTTAGCTCACAGCAGCACGACATTCTGATCTGCGATCTACGAGATCCGAGCAACCCTACGTCGCGGCGCGGAATGGAGCGTACTTCATCACATCTGGAGTTGGATCCGGGTCGGTCTAGGGCAAAGCGTCGAGCCTCGCCGCCAAGCCGCGGCCTACGTCAGTAGCACTTCTCTGCGGCACAGATTCCATGCTGACTAGTGATTATCATCGCCAGTCGTCATCAGCAGCTGTACAGCATTACTGGACTGCGGACTAATTGTTATCCCTCTTAATTATTTGAAGGTCTCGGAAGGAATAAGCTGGTGCAATATCATTTGAAGGATGGTTACATGAGAGAGAGAGAGAGAGAGAGAGAGAGAGAGAGCTCCATCTCTCTCCTCCATCTCCATGGAAGAAAGAAGAAGGAAAGTCTGGCAACCTCGGCCGGGAATGGATGAAAACTGGAAAGAGTTCTCTAGCCCTGACACGGAAGCGTTCTCTCCATTTATGAAACAAAGAAAGAAGTTGTACCTTTGGAAGTTTTGCTTGATCGTATCCTGAAAAACTTCTTAGCTCTTAATAGATCATATGTGGATAAAAGATATAATGGAATAGTGCTAGTTGCTGCAACACAATGTGCAGCAATTTATTTTGTGTTGCTGATTAGGCAAATGGGAGAGTTTGAGAATATTCACAACATATTATTATTCTATAAATGTGATAACATAATAGAATGCTTATTACTATTTAACATTTATTCCTTGGAGAAACTACATGGTTAACTAAACTAAAGATAAGGTAGTACCAACTTGAGGAACACCCAATTGCTGGTCTGACGAATGAGCCTAGCAGCTCATCTAGACAAAAAGTGGGGTGAATCTAGTAGGCCAGGGCATTGAGATGGAACAGCTGTTTGCAGGGCAGAAATGTGCTCAAGGACTTGTATACGTATGCGGATCCATCATACACGTGGTGCTCTCTCTCCAGGAGTGCAGATGAAAGATATGTGGATTATATTGCCCAGCTCCTGTTCGACGATCTGCTGCCTCCACCTTAATTGTCTTGGGAAATCACAGCTTTGATCGCAACTGAGACACTAGATACCGAGTCGGAGAGACGGAGACCGGAGAGGGCAAGCCGTACATACTTGGGGCGAAAGATGGACTGCTGGTTCTAGATTAATCATAGATTAATATAAGTAATTTGAATTATATCCCAGCAAGCTACATACGGCAACTCGCATTACTTTTTCGAAGCTTCTACGATTCCCCGCTGATTCCTTTATGCAGGCTTTGTGTGTCAACATCCTTGAAATTTAAACATTTCCGCTCCCCCAAAGATGGGAAGAACCATTTCAACGTAGCACTCGCATGCTCTGGATGTTAGAATCTCAATCCTATTGCAACAAAAATTTGGTGAAATACACCGAATGATCAGGTGCTCTACGTTAAACCCTCGTTCGAACTTGATTACAAGGAAAACAGAGAGGAGAGATCGATCATCTCATCCACAACAAAACCTATATATGATCAGCAATCAGTCCCGAATTCTAGCAGCAGGAGCAAGAGCAGCAGCAGCAGCAATCGTCCTTTGGCTTCGGCTTGGGCTTTTCCACCTTGATCTCATGGACGGATTCCACAGAAATACACTTGCGTTTCTTCTCGGTGGCCTTGAGGACGTCGTCCACCTTGAAATCACCCGTGAAGGTGTAAAGGGGATCTTTAACCTCCACTTTCTTCACACCTGCAAGAGCACGAAGATCTCTTGATCAGCGATCAAAATTTGGGAGAATTTGCGGAAATCTACACTCACCGGAGACGCCGTGATAGATCTGAGACATCATCCTGTCCTTGCATTTGTTGCAAGAGTCCACTTTCAAGACAACCTGGAGCACAGAGCTCGAGATCAAACAAGGCTCAACGAAATCAGCCAGACGCAATGCTCACCTTCCAAGCCATCTTGATTGTCTACGAATTTGCAGATCACAGTTGTGAAATTCGCAGCTTTGACAAGCTTGAGACACTAGATACCGGAGGACGGAGAAGCGGAAGAGAAGAGGGCCCTGCTGCTGACTGGGGAGACGTCATGAATTTATATCCGAGCAGCAGTCGTTCCACTCCGTTTACGCAGAAAGTTTCCCGTAGGAATTGCCGTGTGGAAGCCGTGTTTGTAATCCCGCGCACGTTCGTAAAAAGAAAACGTTTTTTTATTATAATACTTTTTATATCGAGACCTAGAATCCATTTGGCGCCAAAGCCCTAATTTTTTGAACAGAAATGTAGGGTTTCATCTTGATGGTCCCTGGCGCGCTCACACCGCCTGGATCGGCACGCTCGTCGTGCGGTGGAAGATCGCCCCCAATTCGACAGCCAGGGCGTCATGATCCAGGAGGAGCGCCGCCGAATCTGTGGCAAGCACGGCGTGGAGCCCCACTTCTGCGATTGCGTCCACGACGCCATCTCCAGCGTCATCGCGTGCCTCCGCAAGGTCTGGTAACTGGATCTTTGCGAGCTTCGAATTCGCGGATGGATTGGAGTACCTCTCCTCGGGGATGCCAGCGAGTTCCAGCGGCGTTTTGGAGAATCTCTTCACGCCGTCCATGCAAGAAAGCGCTCAAGGGGTTCCTGCAAGCGCTTGGCGGAATGCGCGATTGGATTCGGCCGCATGGTGTAAGACTCGATCTTTGGGTCCGTCCAACAACATCTGGCACGCTCGCTCGCTCCACTGATGGTCTCATCGACGCCATCATGGCTTCCACGACAAGGTGAGTGCTCTGCTCTCTCTTTTCTCCAAAGTTTTCCTTGTTTACAGCATTTCCCCGGAACAGTTACGATACCAGAAATCTTCGAGCGAACACACAGGAACACATAAAGAAAGCAATCACCCAAACAATCTGGCGAGCAAAGACGCAAGAACACATCAAGAAAAAAACCACCCATGCAAGAACCCAGTTTTATTCACGCTATTTGCAGGCTCAGATCTCCAGTTCCAGCTCTTCCAGATGGATTCCTCCGTGCACTCTCGCTTTGTTATCTGTTTAGAAGCAAACACGAGGTTTGTATACAGACAAAAAGTTGTAAGAGTTAACCTCTTTCGAGTTTTCGTTGAATCCCGCAAAGAATTTATTGCCTTTGGCGTTACCTCCAATGGCTCCAGTCGGTGTAATCGTTGTTGACGACGTGGAAGTATCCATGTCGGCATCTACAAAAGCAGAAGAAGAAGACGAAATCCTGTTCGAACGGGGCAATACAAGTTTACGATCACTTTGGACAGCATCCTTTTTCTTTCTTAGCTCACAGCAGCACGACATTCTGATCTGCGATCTACGAGATCCGAGCAACCCTACGTCGCGGCGCGGAATGGAGCGTACTTCATCACATCTGGAGCTGGATCCGGAAGGAATAAGCGAGCGTGTTCCATCGCTAGCTCCATCTCTCTCCTCCATCTCAATGGAAGAAAGAAGAAGGAAAGTCTGGCAACCTCCGCCGGGAATGGATGAACACTGGAAAGAGTTCTCTAGCCCTGGCACGGAAGCGTTCTCTCCATTTATGAAACAAAGAAAGAAGTTGTACCTCTGGAAGTTTTGCTTGATACTTCTTAGCTCTTGCTTCCCTTGACATGCCTAAACGCTGCTTGACACAAGTTAGTAATGAAGCAGTCGCCACAGCAAGGCCAAGCGGATTGCAAATGGTCTGACCAAATCCATGCATGAAAAAAACATGGAACAAAATGGATTGATCGGAACCCATTCTTCCCCCGGCAACCACGACTCTAGCGAGATCCACGTCTCCTCTGGAGTTTTCGTGTCCTTTCAAAGCAAACAAGTATGGATCACAGTATAGAGAGAACTTTGCTGGAAGAAACAACGTACGAAGCGTTTTTTTGGATGTTGATTTTGGATATGATACGCATTCCAGTCGGTTTGTAATCCGGTGGACGTGAGTGTCGACACAAATGCATGCACGCTCTCCACGTTCATCACCTACATAAAGTTTTGGAAGGCAAAATGATTTATAAATAAAATATAAATGAGACAAAACAGATATAAAGCTATAATATATAAATAAAAAATACATATAACTCAATATATTATTCTAAATGAACAAATAAACGAACACAACGAAAAAATAATATAGTATACACAAGGTACAACATGAATATGGAAATTCCTGTCCTACAAATTTCAGCTTACCAAATAACACAAGAAAAATACAAATACTATATAAAATATTACATTTAAAAAAGAAAATAGCAATTGAAATAACACAAAAAATAGCAACGGAAAATGAACTAGTAAATGGAGCAGATGGAGTATTATAAAATGTAACCCATATCAAAGAAGAAAACATAATAGATAGAATCCCCAAATATAGAAACAGGTGAAAAAACAAAAGCTAAAGAGTAAATAAAAATAATTTTAAAAAACAAGATACCAATAAGAAAAGTAACAAGAATAATAAATATTGCTAAAATCCAAAATTATGTTTTAAACAGAACCCACCATATGTAGGAAGAATAATACACAGAGCTTAAGGATCAACAGTAAAACAATTAGAATATGACCTGTATAAAACAAAATATCAAAGACAAGCATATATAACATTATCAAGAGCACAAACATTAGAGGTAATAAAGATGCAGCTAAAGACATAATAAGAATGACAACAGAAGCACCATGGCAAATTAATTTAATAGATTTACAAAAAGAGAAAAAATCTAACCAAACTAATACAAGTTTTAAATATAACATCTGTTACATCATATCAAGAAGATATAAAGAGTGTTTCAATATTATTATTATTAAATATAATGTTTATATATATATATATATATATATATATATATATATATATATATATATATATATATATATATATATATATATATGAAAACCCATATAGCAATATTTCATACAAATGACTATAAATCAGAAAAATTAAAACATTTAAAAACAGAAAAAATGGCAATGTCATATATATCACTAGTGAAAAATAATAAATAAATACAAATACTAAATTTACATAGAAAACCTGGAACAATTATATAAATATTTATAAAATAACTACATATGTATATATATATATAAAATAATTACAGGAAATTTCAATATTGACTATCAAAATGAAGAAGCAAAACCAATGGAGATATATATAAATAATAAAAGACAATACACATTATAAGAAACTAATAGATCATATGTGGATAAAAGATATAATGAAGTAGTACCAGCATACTGGACAGATCAAAACAAATTATATAGTAAAAAATATTAAAAAAAAAAAAACAAAACAAGCATTGCTGCAACACAATGTGCAGCAATTTATTTTGTGTTGCTGATTACGCAAACTGTTATAAATGGGAGAGTTTGAGAATATTCACAAAATATTATTATTCTATAGCGGGGATTTAATGTGCTAGGGCTGGCGGCCGGACGAGGCCGTGATGGCGGGGATGATCGAGTCGTGCTGCAACATAATTGAATGTTTATAATGTTAAACCTTTTTACTATGTAACATTTATTCCTTGGAGAAACTACATGGTTAACTAAACCAAAGATAACTGGTCATCTAGCAGAACACCCAATTGCTGGTCTGACGAATGAGCCTAGCAGCTCATCTAGACAAAAGTGGGATGAATCTAGTTGCCATAAAACTTAGGCCAGGGCATTGAGATGGAACAGCTGTTTGCAGGGTGACAGCCCATGACAGTGGAAAGAAGAGTGGGATGAGGGATCCTTGTCCTCGCAGTTGAGCAAAAACTGGATGTATGCGGATCCATCATACACGTGGTGCTCTCTCTCCAGGAGTGCAGATGAAAGGTATGTGGATTATATTGCCCAGCTCCTGTTCGACGATCTGCTGCCTCCACCTTAATTGTCTTGGGAAATCACAGCTTTGATAGCAGCTGAGACACTAGATAGACGGAGAGCGGAGAGGGCAAAGCCGTACATACTTGGAGCGGAAGATGGACTGCTGGTTCTATATTAATCATAGATTAATATAAGTAATTTGAATTATATCCAAATCTGAACAAACCATAAACCTGTAGACCAAGTCAATGTTTTGAACGAGGATTTGACTTGACCATTGAATAGTCAAGCACGTTCACACAGGTTAGCAAGCTACGTACAGCACGCATTACTTTTTTGAAGCTTCTATGATTCTCCCACTGATTCCTTCATGCAGGCTTTGTGTGTCAACATCCTTGAAATTTAAACATTTCCGCTCCCGTAAAGATGGGAAGGACCATTTCAACGTAGCACTCGCGTGCTCTGGATGTTAGATTGACAATCTCAATCCTATTGCAACAAAAACTTGGTGAAAGAAACCGAAACCCCTCGTTCGATTTGATTAGAACTTACATGAGAGGAGAGATTGATCATCTCATCCACAACAAAACCTCTCTATGATCAGTAATCAGTCACGAATTCTAGCAGCAGCAGCAAGAGCAGCGGCAGCAGCAGCAATCGTCCTTTGGCTTGGGCTTTTCCACCTTGATCTCCTGGACGGATTCCACAGAAATACACTTGCGTTTCTTCTCGGTGGCCTTGAGGATGTCGTCCACCTTGAAATCACCCGTGAAGGTGTAAAGGGGATCGTTAACCTCCACTTTCTTCACACCTGCAAGAGCACGAAGATCTCTTGATCAGCGATCAAAATTTGGGAGAATTTGCGGAAATCTACACTCACCGGAGACGCCGTGATAGATCTGAGACATCATCCTGTCCTTGCATTTGTTGCAAGAGTCCACTTTCAAGACAACCTGCAGCACAGAGCTCGAGATCAGACAAGGCTCAACGAAATCAGAGACGCAATGCTCACCTTCCAAGCCATCTTGATTGTCTACGAATTTGCAGATCACAGTTGTGAAATTCGCAGCTTTGACAAGCTTGAGACACTAGATACGGAATGAAGAGGGCCCTGCTGCTGACTGGGGAGACGTCATGAATTTATATCCGAGCAGCAGTCGGATGGAATGCTTTCCACTCGTTTTACGCGGAAAGTTTCCCGTAGGAATTGCCGCGTGGAAGCCGTCTTTGTATGTACGATGAATCCCGCGCACGTTCGTAAAGAGAAAACGTTTTTTTTATTATAATACTTTTTATAAGACCTATAATCCGTTTGGCGCCAAAGCCCTAATTGTTTGAACAGAAATGTAGGGTTTGATCGCTGGCGTGCAAGACCTGGCGCGCTCACACCGCCTGGATCGGCACTGTTGTCGTGCGGTGGAAGATCGCCCCCAATTCGACAACCAGGGCGTCATGATCCAGAAGGAGCGCCGCTCGAATCTGTGGCAAGCACGAAACAAAGAACAAGGCCAGAGAACTCTGGCCGAGGTTGCCAAACTTTCCTTCTTCTTTCTTCTATGAAGATGGAGATGGAGCTCCAATCTCTCTCCATCATGTAACCATCCTTCTAGCGATGGAACACACTCACTTATTCCATCCAGAAACCTTTAAAACATCATAGCCCGCAGTGGATAATTAAGAGGGCGAGACCGATCGACAAGAATGTTGTACAGCTGCTGATGACGACTGGCGATGGCGATGATCATCCTCAAGTCAGCATGGAAATCCTACTCCGCAGGGAATTGCTCCTGCCGAGAGAGTTAGCTCACCAATGTAGGCCGTGGGCTTGGCAGCGAGGCTCGAGGCTTTGCCATAGACCGATCCAGCTCTCCAGACGTGATGAAGTACGCTCCATTCAGGAACAAGTTCTTCCCGGATCTCCAGTGCCAGCTCTTCCAGATTGATTTCTCAGTGTACTCTCGCTTTATGATCAAACATCAGTTTTGTAGCCTATACAAAGAAAAAGTTCAAAAAAGCTTTACCTCTTTCGAGTTTTTGCAAAGAATGTATTGCCTTCAATTGTGGGATTTGCGCTGCCTCCAATGGCGTACATCTTCCATTCTGTGTAGTCATGGTTGACAATGTGGAAGTATCCGTGTCGGCATCTACCAAAGCAAAAGAAGAATACGAAATCCAGTTAGAAAAGCCAAACCCGTGCGCAAAGAAAGCAAAAGCGTGAGGCTGACCTCGGCATTCTTTCGACTAAACCCTGTTTAAAGTGATTGTAAGCTACAGTCACTTGCATTGCCCGGTCCGCAGTGTAATCGTCG